ACCCCACAACACTCAGGTCACCTCCCACCACCCTACAACACTCAGGTCGACCTCCCTACACCCTACAACCTCAGGTCGACCCCCACCCCTACAACACTCGTGTCGACCCCCCACACCCTCCAACCTCAGGTCCACTCCCTACACCCCAACACTCAGGTCGACCTCCTACACCCCTACAACCTCGTGTCGACCCCCTACACCTCAACCTAGGTCCACTTCCACACCCCACACCACTCAGTCGACCTCCCTACACCCCTACAACCTCAGGTCAGACCCCCACCCCAACAACACTCAGGTCGACCTCCTACACCCTACCACAACCTCAGGTCGACCTCCACCCTACCACAGGTCGACCCCACCACAACCTCATCGACCTCCTAACCTCAGGTCGACCCCCTACACTCTACAACACCCAGGTCGACCCCACCCCAACACTAGGTCGTCCCCCTACACCTACATCACTCAGGTTGACCCCCTACACCCCTACAACACTCGGGTCGACCTCCTACACCTACAACACTCAGGTCGACCTCCTACACCTACACACTCAGGTCGACCTCCTACACCCTACAACCTCAGGTCGACCCCTACCCTAACCTCAGGTCGACCTACCCTACAACCTCAGGTCGACCTCCTACACCTAACACTCAGGTCGACCTCCTACACCCTACAACACTCAGGTCGACCTCCACCACCTCCTCAGGTCGACCTCCTACACCCTACAACCTCAGGTCGACCTCCTACCAACACTCAGGTCGACCTCCTACAACCTCAGGTCGACCTCCCACCTAACCTCAGGTCGACCTCCTACACCCCAACACTCAGGTCGACCTCCCTACCCCTCAACACTCAGGTCGACCTCCTACCCTACCAGGTCGACCTCCTACACCCCAACACAGGTCGACCTCCCACCTAACCTCAGGTCGACCTCCTACACCCCTAACACTCAGGTCGACCTCCACCACCCTACAACACTCAGGTCGACCTCCACCACCCTACACTCAGGTCCGACCTCCTCCCTAACACTCAGGTCGACCTCCTACACCCTACAACACTCAGGTCGACCTCCTACACCCTCCTCCAGAGTCGACCTCCTACACCTAACCTCAGGTCGACCTCCCTCACCTACAACACCCAGGTCGACCTCCTACCACTACACTCAGGTCGACCTCCTACACCCCCCTAACACCCCCAGCACTCGCCTACACATCCTACAACACACTGAAGGTCAAAAATATCTGAAAACAGAGTCTCTCTCTCTCTCTCTCTCTCTCTCTCTCTCTCTCTCTCTCTCTCTCTCCTCTTAAACACTTTACGTTGACAGCTTGACCTCATTACTTTTATAACTTGACCTAATTAACTACGAGGTCAATCTAGAGGAAGGAGGAAGGGAGGGAGGGAGATGAGTGAGGAAGAAGGGAGAAGGATGATAGCGGTGAGAAGGAGGGGGGAATATGGGGGAAGGTTGGGAGGTAAGAAGGAGGAAAAGGAAAGAGGAAGAAATAGAAAAGGGAAGGAGGGAAGAGGTAGGTAAAAGGGTAAGAGGAGGATGCAAGTAAAAGAAAGAGGAGAGGAAGAAGAGGAAAGGAAAAGAAAGAAGGTAGGGAAGGGACGGAGGATGAAGGTGAGGAAGGGGAAAGGATCAGGGAAGGAGGAAGGGAGGAAGAAGAGCTAAAGGAGAAGGAAGGAAGAAAAAAGAAAGAATGGAATATGGGTTAGAGGAAAGAAAAGAAAAAGAAAAGAAAATGGAAAGAGAAAGGAAGGAGAAGGAAGAACAAAAAAAAAGGAAAAAGGAAAAAAGGAAAAAAGAGAAAAAAAGAAAGAAGAAAGGGGAAGAAGGGAAAGAAGGGAGAAAAAGAGGAAGAAGAAGGAAAGAGAAAGAAGAGAAAGGAAAGGAGAAAAGGTGAGAAGAGGAAAGGAGAGAAGGAAAAAAAAGGAGAAGAAAGGAGAAGGAAAGGAGAAATAGGAAGGAGTGAAGGAGAAAAGGAAGAAGAAGGAGAAGAAAGACGGAAGAAACGGAAAGAGGAGGTTAGGAAGGAAGCAGCCACCATCACTCGCCACCTCACATAATTACCCCAGAGTGTCTCGTTTACTCTCCGATACAATTTATTCCCCACCAGTATACAGCTTACAGTATTCTGCAGGTACAGCGAACGGTGGGTGACTATAGTGAAGGTGCCTTTCTCTAAACAAACTGACATAATTCCCCTCAAATACCGTGTGTGTGTGTGTTATTACCGACCCAATTGGTCCAGCTTCTTACCTCGCCGGTCCAATACATCACCACTAACCTGTCTTGGTGTATACTCAGACCCAACAGGTGACCAACACTACCACCCAACTTACCTGTGGGAGAAGAAACACAACATAATAACATAGTCAGGTAACTTATATACAGGTGAGGAGTGACATCAGTAGCTATATTATAAAGAACAAGTGAAAGTGACATCAGTAGCTATATTATAAAGAACAGGTGAGGTGACATCAGTAGCTATATTATAAGAACAAGTGAGGGTGACATCAGTAGCTATATTATAAAGAACAGGTGGGAGTGACAGTAGCTATATTATAAAGAACAGGTGAGTGACATCAGTAGCTATATTATAAGAACAGGTGAGGTGACATCAGTAGCCATATTGTAAAGAACAAAGTGAGATGACATCAGTAGCTATATTATAAGAACAAGTGAGGAGTGACATCAGTAGCTATATTATAAAGAACAGGTGAGGGCAGCCAGTAGCTATATTATAAAGAACAGGTGAGGGTGACATCAGTAGCTATATTATAAGAACAGGTGAGGTGACATCAGTAGCCATATTATAAGAACAGGTGGAAATTGACATCAGTAGCTATATTATAAGAACAAGTGAGGGAGTGACATCAGTGGCTATATTATAAGAACAGGTGAGGTAGACAGCAGTAGCTATATTATAAAAGACAGGCATCAGTAGCTATATTATAAGGGTGAGGTGACAGCAGTAGCCTTTGTAAGAACAAGTAGGTGACAGCAGTAGCTATATTATAAGAACAGGTGAGGTGACATCAGTAGCCATATTGTAAGAACAGGTGAGGTGACAGCAGTAGCTATATTATAAAGAACAGGTGAGGTGACATCAGTAGCCATATTAGAAGAACAGGTGGGTGACAGCAGTAGCTATATATATAAAGAACGGGTGAGGTGACATCAGTGCTATATTATAAAAGGAGGTGAGGTGGCATCAGTAGCTATATTATAAGAACAGGTGAGGTGACATCAGTAGCTATATTATAAAACAGGTGAGGTGACATAGTAGCTATATTATAAAGAACAGGTGAGGTGACATCAGTAGCCATATTATAAAGAACAGGTGAGGGTGACATCAGTAGCTATATTATAAAGAATAGGTGAGGAGTGACATCAGTAGCTATATTATAAAAAACAGGTGAGGGTGACATCAGTAGCTATATTAAGAACGTGAGGTGACATCAGTCTAATTATAAAAAGGTGAGTGACATCAGTAGTATAAAAAGGTGAATAGTAGTTACATAATAAAGAACAGGTGAGGAGTGACATCAGTAGCTATATTATAAAGAACAGGTGAGGGTGACAGCAGTAGCTATATAAAGAACGGGTGAGGAGTGACATCAGTAGCTATATTATAAAGAATAGGTGAGGAGTGACATCATTAGCTATATTATGAACAGGTGAGGTGATGTAGCTATATTATAAAGAACAGGTGAGGTGACAGTAGCTATATTATAAGAACAGGTGAGGTGACATCAGTAGCCATATTATAAAGAACAGGTGAGGTGACATCAGTAGCTATATTATAAGAACAGGTGAGGAGTGACATCAGTAGCCATATTATAAAGAACAGGTGAGAGTGACATCAGTAGCTATGTTATAAAGAACAGGTGAGGAGTGACATCAGTAGCTATATTATAAAGAACAGGTGAAGGTGACATCAGTAGCTATATTATAAGAACAGGTGAGGAGTGACATCAGTAGCCATATTGTAAAGAACAGGTGAGGAGTGACATCAGTAGCTATATTATAAAGAGGTGAGGAGTGACATCAGTAGCTATGTTATAAAGAACAGGTGAGGAGTGACATCAGTAGCTATATTATAAGAACAGGTGAGGTGACATCAGTATATGTTATAAAGAACAGGTGAGGTGACATCAGTAGCTATGTTATAAGAACAGGTGAGGTGACATCAGTAGCTATATTATAAAGAACAGGTGAGGTGACATCAGTAGCCATATTATAAAGAACAGGTGAGGTGACATCAGTAGCTATGTTATAAGAACAGGTGAGGAGTGTTAACCTTGTAAGAACAGGTGAGGAGTGACATCAGTAGCTATATTATAAAGAACAGGTGAGGAGTGACATCAGTAGCTATATTATAAAGAACAGGTGAGGAGTGACATCAGTAGCTATATTATAAAGAACAGGTGAGGAGTGACATCAGTAGCTATATTATAAAGAACAGGTGAGGAGTGACATCAGTAGCTATATTATAAAGAACAGGTGAGGAGTGACATCAGTAGCTATATTATAAAGAACAGGTGAGGAGTGACATCAGTAGCTATATTATAAAGAACAGGTGAGGAGTGACATCAGTAGCTATATTATAAAGAACAGGTGAGGAGTGACATTAGTAGCCATATTATAAAGAACAGGTGAGGAGTGACATCAGTAGCTATATTATATAAAACATAAAAGGACACCTGAAAATATGTTCACCATCCTTGTACCGCCATGTTGTTCAAGGTGTTCATCTGGACCGTCTTTCTACACCTTGAGATGAGAACACGGAGTCATGGTGATCACTAATTGGGGCAGCCTCCGGTCACGTCACCTCTACAGCTTATATAGAAGACAACATATGTCTTCTTGGCCATGTGTGAAGGCCATCGTACACACACACACGCGCGCACGCACGCACGCACGCGCGCGCACGCGCACACACACACACACACACACACACACACACGCTAGAAAGGTGTATAATACTGACCTGCGGCTGCGGTTTCTGGAGCCGAGGGAGCCGCCACCGCACTGTACCGCCGCAACCATCTTGGCAGTGAGGGACAGGAGAGACATGGTTGTCATGACACACCTCCCCCTCACTGTCTCCCGGCGGCCGCACACTCAAACACACGGACGCTATAATCTTCTCCCCGCCACTACCCATAAAACACTCACTATGTTTCCAGTAATGAGATATTTTCACTTAACTTCACTGTGATGTTTGTGTTAAGAGAGTTGGTTAATAATAGTTACTTGGTCCAGAGGAGTAGTAATACAGCTTTATGGGAGGGAGAGGTCTGGTGGTGTCATCAGTACTGCCTCTTTATCAAGCTGGCAGACTCACTCACTCTCCTCCTGGTGGTAGCTGAGTGTCCTGGGGCAAGTCTCTCCCCACCATACACACAAGAGTCTTTTTCCACGACACAATATATATCTTCTTTTTTCTCTCTCAATTAACTGTATACCCCGAGTGTGTCATCACCATACCGTCTCGACACTATGAACAGTCAACTATTATATCTGTAAACTGAGAGAGGAAAACCTTGGTTGTGTTTGTGCGTCAGAGGAAGACCAAAAACATCCTGGAGTTTATATTATCACCGTGTACAGTCGTCCGCCCGTCTTCCACAGATAAACACGGGCGGCGATGTTCTCCTGTTTCACACACACATTAACAATACCATCTCGCTGAATGTTACAATATGTATTACAACAACATTAGTATCCGTCCCGTAAGGTGGAGTGTGAGCATTAATACGTACGTTGAGAGAGAGAGAGAGAGGGAGGTAGGCGGGGTCGCTGCTGCCCCACACAATCACTACCAATAAACAACAATTTAACCCAGTGTATATGACCACCTGTGACGCTACACCCCTTCCTCCTGCCTCCCTCGCTCTTCTCTATACACCCATACACAACCACACTCCTCCACACCATACACAACCATACTCCTCCACACCATACACAACCACACTCCTCCACACCATACACAACCACACACACCATACACAACCATACTCCTCCACACCAAACCCATAATACTCCACACCATACAACCATAATAATCCACACCATACACAACCAATACTCCACACCATACCACAACCACACTCCTCCACACCATACACAACCACACTCCTCCACACCATACACAACCATACTCCTCCACACCATACACAACCACACTCCTCCACACCATACACAACCATACCACACCTGCCAGACCAAGCCCAGTTAATCACTTTTTCTTCTCAAATCTCTTTTTTTCAAGGTTTTATGGTTATGTCTTAAGGTCCTGGGTTATGTCTTAAGGTCCAGGGTTATGTCTTAAGGTCCTTGGTTATGTCTTAAGGTCCTGGGTTATGTCTTAAGGTCCTGGGTTATGTCTTAAGGTCCTTGGTTATGTCTTAAGGTCCTGGGTTATGTCTTAAGGTCCTTGGTTATGTCTTAAGGTCCTGGGTTATGTCTTAAGGTCCTTGGTTATGTCTTAAGGTCCTTGGTTATGTCTTAAGGTCCTTGGTTATGTCTTAATGTCCTGGGTTATGTCTTAAGGTCCTGGGTAATGTCTTAAAGGTCTCCTTTGGTTATGTCTTAAGGTCCTTGGTTATGTCTTAAGGTCCTTGGTTATGTCTTAAGGTCCTTGGTTATGTCTTAAGGTCCTTGGTTATGTCTTAAGGTCCTGGGTTATGTCTTAAGGTCCTTGGTTATGTCTTAAGGTCCTTGGTTATGTCTTAAGGTCCCTCCTGGGTTATGTCTTAAGGTCCCTCCTGGGTTATGTCTTAAGGTCTGGTTATGTCTTAAGGGGTTATGTCTTAAGGTCCTTGGTTATGTCTTAAATGGTCCTGGGTTATGTCTTTAAATGGGGTTATGGTTATATCTTGGTCCTTAAGGTCCTTGGTTATGTCTTAAGGTCCTTGGTTATGTCTTAAGGTCCCAGGGTTATGTCTTAAGGTCCTTGGTTATCTTAAGGTCTTAAGGTCCTGGGTTATGTCTTAATGTCTTAAGGTCCTTGGTTATGTCTTGGTTAAGGTCCAGGTCTGGTTATGTCTTAATGTCTTAATGTCCTGTCATGGTTATGTCTTAAGGTCCTGGGTTATATAGGTCAGGGTTATGTAAGGTCCTTGGGTTATGTCTTAAGGTCAGGGGTTATGTCTAAGGTCCTTGGGTATGTCTTAAGGTCAGGGTTATGTCTTAAGGTCCTGGGTTATGTCTTAAGGCCCAGGGTTATGTCTTAAGGTCCTTGGTTATGTCTTAAGGTCCTTGGTTATGTCTTAAGGTCCTTGGTTATGTCTTAATGTCCTGGGTTATGTCTTAAGGTCCTGGGTAATGTCTTAAGGTCCTTGGTTATGTCTTAAGGTCCTGGGTTATGTCTTAAGGTCCTTGGTTATGTCTTAAGGTCCTTGGTTATGTCTTAATGTCCTGGGTAATGTCTTAAGGTCCTGGGTTATGTCTTAAGGTCCTGGGTTATGTCTTAAGGTCCAGGGTTGTAATTACTAAGACTAAGGTGATCTACAGTCAGCAGCCATAACCTAGCTACCACCACCACTGACACAGCCACGCCAACAGTGACAACACCATACCTCGCCAACAGTGACAACACCATACCTCGCCAACAGTGACAACACCATACCTTGCCAACAGTGACAACACCATACCTTGCCAACAGTGACAACACGATAACTTGCCAACAGTGACAGAGCCAAGTGACAGCCATCCATACCAGTGATACGGGAGGGTCAACGAGAACTAGTGGTGGCGGTGGTGTCCGTCAGGTGCTGGTGAAGGGGTCATGGGGGAGGGGGAGGGAAGGGTGGGAGGAAGTGAAAGCGGAAGGAAAAGGAAAACAGGTGGGGAAGAGAGGAAGGAGGGAAGGAGGGGGAAGACAAGAAAGAGGGAGGGAGGGGGAAGAGAGGAAGGAGGGAAGGAGGGGGAAGATTGGAGGGAGGGAGGGAGGGAGGACCGCTACTAATAATATCATCAAGGTAGAGGTACAGGTGAGGGGTGTCAGTCACCAGGCAGTAGTTGTTGTACACAAAGCGTCCTGGTGCGCCACATACCATGCCAGCTGACGTCACAGTGACCAGCTGGCCCGCGGCTGTGCTATATACGGATGGCTCCCGTTATGCTAATACTACACACTCACCCACATCATCAAAACTCCATTTGGGGTCCTCAAACTTGTCGTGAATGGATCTGTTCCTTAACCATCAGACGAAGGATCACTGTCTTCCAACACGCTGACTGGTGGCTTTAGTGTACACAGTCATCACTCGCATCATACTTTAGTGTCGACCACAGCGAGGGCATTTCTTTTTTTTTCTACTTCACGTCACGCATATCATTAACTACTGTAGTACCATTTTTCTCTTAAAATATTTAGTTAGAACGAATAAACTTGAGGATCATTACGTATCGTCATCCTGTGATAGTGGCGACACAGAGAGTGTATGTGTGAGGGACGGTGGAGTCAGTCACACACGAGGGTAGGGTGGCACTGTACACCGTCGACTGTCATGGCACGCCGTGGCTGGCGGGCTGCTGCTCCCCTCACCACTATGCCCCGCCCACCACTACCACCATGCCCCGCCACACTCACTACCACCCACCACACACACACACACACACGCACACATCAATGTATCTCGACTCACAAGTTACACTACTTCAGCAAGATTCGAGCAGCCTGGTGTTGAACATCACTATACAGAAGACAAAGATGACAGCAAAGTGACAGAAGGGAGGAGAGGGACCCCAGCACCTCCTGTCACGGCTGATGGCCACAGTGGTGATAATGGTCAGTATGGGTGGTGGGGCTGGGAGGGGGAGGGGGGTGATGCTGTTACTACAACTGCTGCAGCTGCTGAGGACGTTAGCCAGGTCGGGGAGTTCCGCTCACAAACCCCTGAGAGGCATCTTAGACGAGACCCACGCACCGGAACACACTCGTCATGGGAAGTGCAGCCGCCCCCCCCCCCTACCACGTCCTAGTGAGGTATAGCACAGGGAGGATCGTGGTGCCTTGGTGAAAGAGGCTGGTGACATATGGTGAACACGTGATCTGTGTGATCACTCCACCACGATGACTGGAGGTGAACAACCACACCCACCCACACACATACATACACCCAACCACACACACATAATAATAATAATAATAATAATAATAATAATAATAATAATAATAATAATAATAATAATAATAATAATAATAATAATAATAATAATAATAATAATAATAATAATGGAAGCCCCTCGAAATCGAGGATGGCCGGCCCAAGGATCCCCTAGCGAGAATTTGTTTAAGGTGTAGAAGCTGTTGCCACAACAACAACCACACCCCAAGTTAACGAGTTGCATGACCCAGTGTCAAGGAATAGTGACAAATAGTCCGAGAAACCCGGACAACTCGCCAACTGCACTGGCTAACCATTATCCAGGAATACGATCCGCAAATCGATAAACATCCAGGTTCCCAATTACTGCTGGGTAGACAGAGGCAAATGGCGTAAAGAAACTTGCCCATAGCTTCACCCGGGTCCGCTCACTTGCGAAGCGAAGATGCTGACCATTACACCACACATACACCCAACCACACACAGATACACCCAACTACACACACATACACCCAACCACACACATATACACCCAACACACACATACACCCAACCACACACACATACACCCAACACACACACATACACCCAACCACACACATACACCCAACCACACACACATACACCCAACCACACACACATACACCCAACCACACACACATACACACACAGATACACCCAACACACACATACACCCAACCACACACATACATAACCACACACATATACACCCAACCCACACACATACACCCAACCACACACACATACACAACCACACACACATACACCCAACCACACACACATACACAACCACACACACACACACATACACCCAACTACACACATACACCCAACCACCCCTTACATACCCACCACCCACCCACATACATAACCACATACACCCCACTCTTACTTACATACACCCACCCACCTACCCACATACATAAACACACCCAACACACACACACACACCCACCCACCCACCCACATACATAACACCCACACATACACCCCACTCACCCACTTACATACACACCCACCCACCCACATACATAAACACACCCAACAACACACACACATACACCCACTCACCCACTTACATACACCCACGCACATACATAAACACACCCAACACACACACATACACATACACCCACCCACACACATACATACACACCCAACAACACACACACACATCAAAAATTTGTTTGTGCTTTTATTTGCCCCCGAGGGGGCTAGTTTATTGGGCACCCCCTTGTCATCCTGTGCAAGGTGAAGCACAAAAGCGTTTACAGCGCCCATCTGGGAAGCATGCGTAGTTCATGCTGCCTTTATGACTCATACATTCAGGACGTAAAAGCCTGAAGGGTCATCAATAACAGTATTCACACAAGACTTCTCGCCCACCACACAGTGACCGAGACCTAATCTGACCCAGTGAACTTGACCTCTGACCCAAATACCTCTAAGTACCAAAGAGCAAACCACCATCGTACCTCACAGCTCTCTCTCTCTCTCTCATAAACACCCACCTTCCTTCCGTCACATACCACCCCCCCCCCACACACACACATGATCCTCGAGTTCTTATGACGTCAGGTGGCACTGCTTGGTGACGTCACGTGGCACTGTGCCTGGTGCCGCCAACAGCTAAAGTCACAGTCACGTCCCCGCCTGGCCCACTCATCATCAGCCGCCTTCACTACTGCCATTATCCAGTCTACCATCACCACTACCATCACCACCATGAAAGTCTACCATCATTACCATTTATCATACTCTTAATACACCACCACCACCACCGTCAACAAATTCTACTACCATACGCCACCATTACCATCACCATATCAAACTCTACTATCATACACCACTACCATGAAACTCTACCATTACTACTATTTTATCCAGTCTACCATCACCACTACCATGAAACTCTACCATTACTACTATATTATCCAGTCTACCATCACCACTACCATGAAACTCTACCATTACTACTATTTTATCCAGTCTACCATCACCACTACCATAAACTCTACCAATACTACCATATTATCCAGTCTACCATCACCATACCAGAAACTCTACCATTACTACTATTTTATCCAGTATACCATCACCACTACCATGAAACTCTACCATTACTACTATTTTATCCAGTCTACCATCACCACTACCATAAACTCTACCAATACTACCATATTATCCAGTCTACCATCACCACTACCATGAAACTCTACCATTACTACTATTTTATCCAGTCTACCATCACCACTATCATGAAACTCTACCAATACTACCATATTATCCAGTCTACCATCACCACTACCATGAAACTCTACCATTACTACTATTTTATCCACTCTACCATCATCATGAAACACTACCATCATACATTATTGTTCAGGAGAAAACTTAAAAGAATGAATAAACTAAACACTATTGGTATTATAAATGACCATGTATACAGTCTGTCGTAATGTGCTTTGGTGTACGTATTACAACACACACACACACACACACACACACCTGCCCCCACCACCTCCCCCACCTGCCACCCCACCACCCCCACCTGCCCCTACCCACTCTTATTAAAATTCATCAAAACCATTATATCATAAATTATCACGTCGACAGATAGAGATTAACGTTGTAATAATTATATATTTGACAAGACATGATACTAACAGCTCTGTCTTCTTGTTCCACCTTAATACAACCCATGTTGTGCTGCTTCCCTCCCTTATCATATTAATGTACATCAAGTTCACTGTAAAATATGTATATACTTATAATGTAAATGTAAAAAAATAAATAAAATAAAATAAATAGCGAAGTGATAACCGTGGGAACATACTGATATGTTCTTATTACCACCATGTTATTGTACTTATCCAGATGATACTAAATGTGACGTAATACTTCCTTGAGATAAATGTACAGTATATATCAGGTGCCTTTAAGAGAGCTCAGGTTCTCAGCTGGTTCTGCCATGTTAATATTGTTATTATTATCCACTCTGTATCTGTGTGGCTAAATAAACTGTTTTAATATCAATATCACCACAATCACCACCACCACCCTCACCTGTACCACCACCCTCACCTGTACCTCCACCACCACCCTCACCTGTACCACCACCACCACGGTCATCACCATCACCTGTACCACCACCACCACCTCTCACCTGTACCACCACCACTACCACCCTCACCTGTGTACCACCACCCTCACCTGTACCCACTCCCTCACCCAGGCCCACCACCACCACCCTCACCTGTACCCACCACCACCCTCACCTCCTTTACGTGCCTCTACAATCTCACCCGTGATCACTATACCTACCAAAGTGTTTAAGCATCATTAATTACAGTATTAGTGTTGTTCACCCAATCCAATCTTACACAATATACGACAAGGAGGGACGGAGGAAGGGGGGAGGGAGGGGGGACAGAGGATTGGTAACCAGTCAAGCGAACCCCACCCAATCCCTCAAGGTACACAGGAGGACTGGACCCTGTAACGACGGGAGGTGGGGGTGTCAGCTGACCTATATATACAACAAGGGAAGGAGGTAGTAGAGGTATAAGGACAAGAGGAGAGGTAATACACTCATTTGACCCACTGAGGACAAATACCCAGCGTTGAAGTATGGAATGCGAGGCCTTATACAACCTCTCCCTCCATCCTCCCTCTCCATCCTTCCCTCCTCCCTCCCTCCCTCCCTCCATCCTTTCTCCCCCTCCCATTCCTTCTCCTCCAACCATTTATTTGCTCGCCGCCAGCTGCCCAAACAGTTTACACTGTTCTCGCCCTCACTTACACAACCGCGGGAAATGGTGCACGAGGCGGGGCGAGGCTACACACGTTATACGACTGCTCATTACCACAGTGTTTCACACCCGTCTACCATCATGTTTACAAATATTGCGTCTAGCCTTTTGGGGGGGTGTTAGTGGTGCAGTGGGGCCTTGTTCAGGGTGTTAGTGGTGCAGTGGGGCCTTGTTCAGGTGTTAGTGGTGCAGTGGCCTTGTCTAGTGCAGTGGCCTGTTCAGGGTGTTAGTGGTGCAGTGGGGCCTTGTTCAGGGTGTTAGTGGTGCAGTGGGGCCTTGTCCAGGGTGTTAGTGGTGCAGTGGGGCCTTGTCCAGGGTGTTAGTGGTGCAGTGGGCCTTGTTCAGGGTGTTAGTGTCTTCAAACTTTGGTCACACACGTGTAGCAAATTACCTCAACTTAGGGACACACTGGCTGGTGAAGGAGGACCCTAGGCTGCTTCGCTGTGACATAATAAGCGGCTATAACACTTGGGTAAAGTGGATGATTTGGCGGAGAAGCAGAGTGAGTGTGTCGCCGTGGTGGCCGGATGGTGGGTCACGCACACCACACTGTCGACATGCAACACACGGAGATGGCAACACAACACCACATTCCATCATCAAAGTCCTTCC